AAGAAGTTCAACTGCTAACTAACCAACAGAACTTTTTCTAGGACCAATGTAATTCATGTTAACTCTAGTCATCAGAAAAATGCTATTGGATTTTATCCTTCAGGAGATACATATAATGCAAAATCGAAAATCACCTCAAGCCTTAAAAATAAGTTCAAAAACATCCTATGTGATCTATTTCTTACTAAGCACGGTAAAGTGGGACATTGGCAAAAAAGGCCATTTGCTCCCAGTAATTCAGTCTTCTCAGGAATTATGAGTTGCCTGTTAGTGCTAAGGCATTCAGAAATTGTGATAAATTTTGCTCTATATTTTTATGGTAATTTAATTTCCTTTTCTCCACTTTAAAAGGAAATTATAATTACCAATATTTACTCAGAGTAAATGGATAAGGGCATTTCCATTTCCTTTTGTATCACAGTAAGCCAAAAAAACATTGATGAGTTTAAAAAAAGAATCATAAGGAAATAGGTCAAAACTCAACAGTGCTTCCTGGCACAGAAACAAATAATTTATCATCTGAAACTTGATTCACATATAGGAAGTCTATCAGTCCATGACAGAAACAAATTACTAAAACAGTATATTTTAACATGTATTTGAAGCCAGGAACATACATGCAATACTGAAATGTGCACATACGTTACAGATACATAGATTACCACTGCTGAAGGTGACACTGCTCACGAAGACATTTAGTCCACTATATAAAAATTAGTGTTTTAAAAAATAAATTTGTACACTTCTTTTTATTGGTACAACTCTGATTTAAAGATACTTTAATAATTCTTTTCCTTAAATAAATTCAGAAGCCTACCACTAATCTTCCTTCCTGGAATCTCACCAAGCTTAAAGTGGGGGAATAAAAGAAGGAAGGAAGGAAAAATAGAGTGAGGGAAAAAAGTCTTCATCAGTGTTAATAAATAACTTCTATAAGTAATAAACGTGTTTGTCAGTGCGTTGTAGTGTGGTGACTTCTGTGTTGCTATGATGCTGGAAGCTATGCCACCAGTATTTCAAATACCAGCAGGGTCACCCATAGTGGACAGGTTTCAGCAGAACTTCCAGACTAAGACAGACTAGGAAGAAGGACCTGGCAGTCTACTTCTAAAAAAGTGGCCTGTGAAAACATTGTGAATAGCAGCGGAACACTGTCAGATATAGTGTCAGAAGATGAGCCCCTCAGGTTGGAAGGCACTCAAAAGATGACTGAAGAAGAGGTGTCTCCTCAGAGTAGAGGCAACTCTAATGACATGGATGGAGTTAAGCTTTCAGGACCTTCATTTGCTGATGTGGCACGACTCAAAATGAAACGAAACAGCTGCGAACATCCAGTAATAATTGGAACGTGGAATGTAAGAAGTCTGAATCTAGGAAAATTGTAAGTCATCAAAAATGAAATGGAATGCATAAAGATCGATATCCTAGGCATTAGTGAATGGCATTGCATTCATCATCAAGAAGAACATTTCAAGATCTATCCTGAAGTACAACGCTGTTAGTGATAGGGTAATAACCATACCCCTAAAAAGAAGACCAGTTAATACAACTATTATTCAAATTTATGAACCAACCACTAAGGCCAAGGATAAAGAAATTGAAGATTTTTACCAACTTCCGCGGTCTGAAATTGATCAAACATGCAATCAAGATGCATTGATAATTATTGGCAATTGGAATGTGAAAGTTGGAAACAAAGAAGGGCTGGTAGTTGGAAAATACGGCCTTGGTGATAGAAATGACGTCGGAGATCGCATGATAGAATTTTGCAAGACCAACGACTTCCTCATTGCAAATATCTTTTTTCAACAACATGTACAGTGACTACACACATGGACCTCATCAGATGGAATGCACAGGAATCAAATTGACTACATCTGTGGAAAGAGATCATGGAAAAGCTCGATGTCATCAGTCAGAACAAGGCCAGGGGTCGACTGTGGAACAGACCACCAATTGTTCATATGCAAGTTCAAGTTGAAGTTGAAAAAAATTAGAACAAGTCCACGAGAGCCAAACTATGACCTTGAGCATATCCCACCTGAATTTAGAGACCATCTCAAGAATACATTTGATGCGTTGAACACTAATGACCGAAGACCAGACGACTTGTGGAATGATATCAAGGACATCATACATGAAGAAAGTAAGAGATCATTAAAAAGACAGGAAAGAAAGAAAAGACCAAAACGGATGTCAGAAGAGAGACTGAAACTTGCTCTTGAACATCGAGTAGCTAAAGCAAAAGGAAGAAATGATGAAGTGAAAGTACTAAACAGAAGATCTCAAAGGGGGGCTGGAGAAGACAAAGTCAAGTATTATAATGATATGTGCAAAGATCTGGAGATAGAAAACCAAAAGGGAAGAACATGTTCGGCATTTCTCAAGCTGAAAGAACTGAAGAAAAAAGTCAAGCCTCGAGCTGCAATACTGAAGGATTCTACAGGGAAAATATTAAACGTTGCAGGAAGCATCAAAAGATAGAAGGAATACACAGAGTCACTATACCAAAACGAACTGATCAATGTTTAACCATTTCAGGAGGCAGCATATGATCAAGAACTGATGGTAATGAAGGAAGAGATCCAAGCTACACTGAAGGCACTGGCGAAAAACAAGGCTCCATGAATTAACGGAATACCAACTGAGGTGTTTCAATAAATGGATGCATTGCTGGAGATGCTCACTCTTCTATGCCAAGAAATTTGGAAGACAGCTACCATATTTATATCCATTCCAGAGAAAGGTGATCCAACACAATGCAGAAATTATTGAACAGTATCACTAATATTCTATGTAAGTAAAATGATGCTGAAGATCATTAAAAGCGGCTACAGCAGTACGTTGACAGGGAACTGCCAGAAATTCAAGCCAGATTCAGAAGAGGACATGGAACAAGGGATACCATTGCTGATGTCAGATGGATCTTGGCTGAAAGCAGAGAATACCAGAAAGATGTTTACCTATGTTTTATTGACTATGCAAAGGTAATCGACTATGTGGATCATAACAAATTATCGATACCATTGAGAAGAATGGGAATTCCAGAACAACTTAATTGTGCTCACGAGGAACCTGTACATAGATCAAGAGGCAGTCGTTCGAACAGAACAAGGGGATACTACGTAATTTAAAGGCAGAAAAGGTATGCGTCAGGGATGTATCCTTTCACCATATTTATTCAATCTGTATGCTGAGCAAATAATCCGAGAAGCATCAGCATTGGAGGAAGACTCATTAACAACCTGCGATATGCAGATGATACAACCTTGCTTGCTGTAAGTGAGCAGGACCTCAAGCACTTACTGATGAAGATTAAAGACCACAGCCTTCAGTATGAATTGCACCTCAACATAAAGAAAACAAACATCTTCACAACTGGACCAATAAGCAACATAATGATAAACGGAGAAAAGACTGAAGTTGTCAAGGATTTCATTTTACTTGGATCCACAATCAACACCCTCGGATATAGCAATCAAGAAATCAAACAAAGCATTGCATTGGGCAAATCTGCTGCAAAAGAACTCTTCAAAGTGTTAAAAAGCAAAGAGGTCCCTTTAAGGACCAAGGTATGCCTGACGGAAGCCACGCTGTTCTCAATTGCCTCATATGCATGTGAAAGCTGGATAATGAATAAGGAAGAACAAAGAAGAACTTATGCCTTTTAATAATGGTGTTGGTGAAGAATACTGAATATACCATGGACTGCCAGAAGAAGAAACAAATCCGTCTTGGAAGAAGTTCAGCCAGAATGCTCCTTAGAAGCAAGGATGGTGAGACTTCATCTCATATACTCTGGACATGCCATCAGGAGGGACCAGTCCCTGGAGAAGAATGTCATGCTTGGTAAAAGTAGAGGGTCAGTTAAACAGAGGAAGACTCTCAGCAAGATGGACTGAGACAGTGGCTACAACAATGTGCTCGAGCATAACAACGATTGTGAGGATGGCACAGGACCAGGCAGTGTTTCCTTCTGTTGTACATCGGGTTGCTATGAGCTGGAGCCGACTCGACGGCATCTAACAACAGCCTAAGTAATAATTCCTCTACATGCTTGAAAACAGTATGTCATGATAGATATTTAGCTACTTTATCCCTGGGGCATTAAGAAAGATATAAAAAAATCATAAGAAATATAACTTGCCCATTTCTGTTTACAGCAGTGATGATAAACTTCTCAATGTACGTTGCTACTCCAAATTCTGGGAGATTGGCTCATGTCTCACTAAGAAATAGTTTTATGTTACTAACATCAAAGTCTTTGAAAAGCCCCAAATCATTCTTCTGGCTGAGGCTGAAGGTGGGGCTGAGGCTGAAGCCCGGGCTGAGCTTAGGACAGGGGAAAAGTAGCAAACTTTAGAGTTGGGCTGGATATAGAGAATTGTGAGCTGGGCAACTCCAACAGGCTAAAGGAGAAAATGTAAGTGCAAGTAATGAACAAACTATAAAGCAACACACAAACACTGCTTTATTTATGGTCATGATTGATGATATTAACAATAATTACAATATTTTCAGTGCTGATGTAGTTTGATCCACACACCCCAAATGCAGCTACAGGGAATGAAAAGCAACCAACTAGCAGTCAACTACAGATTTGCTTTGCTTGGGATATCAGAACCATCAGCTCTAAATTCCACACTATGGAACTCAACAGAAGGTTCACTGTAGCCTCCAGCAATTCCTGCTCTTGGAGTAGAGAATGAAGCTGATCAAATTTTTTTTTTCTAGTTTGGAATTTCACATTTATTCCAAAACTTTAAAGAAATTATCTTCTCAGTTTCCTCAGATTTGACTTCACTGCTTAAAGTCATTTTAATTTCACTGCAATAGAACAATGTAAACTAAAATGTTTATAACACTGAATATTATTCCTCAAGAAAGGTTGAGACTAAAAAGAATATACGACAAGCTGTACCTCTATTCAATGGTTCAAACACATATATTAAATAAAATTTTTACTAAAACACTGATGTTTGGACTAAATTTGATATTACCTCTGGGACTCCTAGCTTTCGGCATGCTTCCAAAAAGTTTTCCACGTTTCTTCTGCATTTGGCCATGCTAAGTTTGGGCTATAAATACAAAGATGCAAAAATAACATTATTAAAATAGAAACCATCTTAGTAACCCGTTAAATTTTAAACGTTCTACATGGCACAAGTAATATATGTTTATTGGATAAAAAGAAAATAACACATAGGAAAATAGAAGAAAATAAAATATTATGCAGAAACCTCCACCTAAAGATAAGAATAGTTACTGTTTTGAATTATGTTCTTCCAGACATTCTGTGTGTTTGTGTTCACTTTTTAAAATGGGATCATATTGTCATGTAACCTGCTTCAGTTCACCTAAAACTACACCGTAAACCTCTTTTCCCATCAACATATATATTTCTAAGTTGTTGTTAGCTGTTGTCGAGTTGGCCCCCAACTCATGGTAATGCCATACACAACGGAGCAAAACAGTGACCAATCATCTGCAGACTGTACTGTTGTGAAAAATCAGGATTTTCACTGGCTGCTTTCCAGAAGTAGATTGCCAGGCCTTTCCTCCTAATCTGTCTTGGTTTGGAAGCTCCGCTGAAACCTGTTCAGCATCACAGCAACATGCAATCCTCCACTGACAGACAGGTGGTGGCTGCTCATGAGGTGCACTGGCCGGGAACTGAACCCAGGTCTCCTGCATGGAAGGTGAGAACTCAACCAATGGAACACCAATGCCCCCTACATATGCAAAGAGTTAAATTTACCAGGCCCATCTCCTCACCATCAGAGTGATGGATTTAATTAGAAAGGGGTAACATCAAGGTAAACAGCACTGAAAATGGTGACGTGTCCACAACTTAACTAAGAACTTCTCAAAATTGATTTTACTCTGGCTATATATGACTTCTAAGATGTGGAATCTTTGTATATGTTATCAGGAGGGACCAGCCCCTGGAGAAGGACATCATGCTTGGTAAAGCAGAGGGTCAGCCAAAAAGAAGAAGACCCTCAATGAGATGGACTGACACAGTGGCTGCAACAATGGGCTCAAGCTCAACAACGATTGTGAGGATGGCCCAGGACTGGGCACTGTTTCGTTCTATTGTACATGGGGTCGCTGTAAGTCGGAAACAAATTGATGGCACCTAACAACAACAACAAAGATGTGGAATAAGTAACAGGTCCATTTAGTCCACACGTTTTAATTTATATTAACTTTTAAACGCTTTACTGATAAACTTTAATATACCACTTAAGTTTCCTTAAAGGAGGAGGCAGGAAGCACGACTGACTAACAGTCAAGGTGCTGGAGCAATGCTTTATAAAGGTGGACCTAAGTGTGAACAGTCAGGGCAAGTGAGATAGAAGTGACTCTAGTTCCATCTTTTAGGGGCCCAAACCAACCATTATAAAAATCTCAATTTGCACAGCATTTATTAAAAAAGAAAAGAAAAGATTCCTCTCACACCCCAGAAAAGCCTCCTGCCATGTGCAACAATTTAGCGTGGAGGCTAAACAAAAAGTATTCTCCATCTTGGCTAGAAAGGAAAGTGTGCCCCTCAACATGGGCCCTAAAGAGATGTGACAAGAAGTTGGTCAGGTGGTTCTGTCCACCCCTGGCATATCTTAGGACCACAGCATTAAGGCTCCTGCAGACAGAAGGAAAAGACATGGGTAATGTGATGTGGGCACAACAGAAGAACAGGTCCCAGACCTAGGAGACACGGCACCAAAAGGTGCTTCACCATATGGAGACCCTAGCACCTATCTCTCTGATTCTGTGTGACCATTATCTTCCTTTTTCTACTTATGATTCAGGACAATCTTCTCTGAAACTAAGGAGCCCGATGGTGCAGTGGTTAAGCACTGGGCTACTAACCAAAGGATCGGCAGTTCAAACCCACTAGCGTGTGGCAGTCTGCTTCCATAAACATTTACAGACTCGGAAACCCTATGGGGCAGTTCTACTCTGTCCTATAGGGTTGCTATGAGTTGGAATTGACCTGACTGAAGTGAGTTTGGTTTTTTGGGGGGGCTCTGAAACTAAGGCACCCTGGTTACACCGTGGTTAAGCGCTCAGCTGCTAACTGAAAGGTCAGTGGTTTGAAACCACCAGCTGCTCTGCAGGAGAAAGATGTGGCAGTCTGCTTCAGTAAAGATGACAGCCTTGGAAACCCTATGGGACAGTTCTACTCTGTCCTGTAGGGTTGCTATGAATCGAGATTGACTCAATGGCAATGGGTTTGGTTGTTTTTTTTCGCTCTGAAACTTGTAAGATGACCAACACCACTCAAAATACTTAGGCCAACACAGGAGAAGCCAATGAAAAGTGTTTGAAGCCACATAAAGAAAATTCATCATCACTGGAAGTGAGCAAGGGCCCGCTCTAACACTGTTCCCTAGTTTCCGTTAGAAAACACTTGCAACAAACACAACAACTTAAAGGCTTGACCTCACCATTGGTCAAAGAATCAAAAAGTACACCAAAATCAAGGTTCTAATCCTTTGCTTATCGAATTGTCAAACTCTGAGGAATCCATCTCTCTTACAAATAGTCTCTCAGCATATTGACATTCACAGTGATTTGGTTCACCATTATTCTGTCTCTCAGCGTGGCATAAAAAAAGGGTAATATTAGTTTCATGAATGAAAAATTACTATGTTTGATGTTGGTAATACTAAAGACACAAAGGGCACTCTCACCTACTGCTGATGGTGCACACACAATCCTATTTCTCAGGTGTTTACATGGGTCAGGTATTATACTTGGTGCTAAGGACACAACCATGCATCAGGACGACACAATACTTGTCCTCACTTAGCAACAGTCTAGATGGCAATATTAACAAAGTCTTAGCTGTGATGTGGTTGCTACAAGGTAAAAAAAGCAAGGAAAAGCACCTAACCTAGTCTTAAAAAAAAAAAAAGTTGTCATCAAGTTGACTCTGACTCATGGCGACCTTGTGTGTGTAGAGTAGAACTGTACTCCACTGGGTTTTTAACAGCTGATTTTTCAGAGGCAGATTGCCAGGCCTTTCTTCCTCTGGGTGGACTTGAACCCCCAACCTTTTGGTTAGCAGTCGAGCATGTTAACTGTTTACACCACCCAGGGATTCTGGATAGTATAATACATATTGTATATATACTCTACCCACTGCCGTGCAGTCAATTCCAACTCATGGAGACCCTACAGGACAGAGTAGAAGTGCCCCACAGGCCTTCCAAAGCTGTAAATATTTACGGAAGTAGATTGCCACAACTTTCTCCTGAGGAGCGGCTGCTAGGTTCAAACCTCTGGGTTCGAGCCAAGTATTTTAACCACTGCACTACCAAGGCTCCATTATATACTATATAGTATATAATAATAGTATTATATAGCATATATCGTATATAAATAGAAGCCCACAATTAAAAAACAACTTAAATGTAGAAAATATGCTAATAGCAAAGAGATCAAACTGTTGACAATTAAAGAGTTAAAAAGACCAAAAGCTGGTTCTTTGAAAAGATTAACAAAATCAATAAACCACTGGCCAAACTGACAAAAGAAAAACAGGACAGGAGGCAAATAACCCGAATAAGAAATGAGATGGGTGATATCACAACACATCCAACTGAAAATAAAAGAATCATAACAGAATACTATGAAAAGTTTTACTCTAACAAATTTGAAAACC